AACACGATACGAATATACGAATTATTTATATATTATATGATACGAATACATAAATTATCAAGTCTATCTCATAAAGTTGAATGGTTAGAGCTTCCCTTCCCCACTTTTTTCTACATAGCTTTTTCAGTTAGTTTAATTGCTTAGATTACTATTTCCAAGATCAAGTCTGTGAGCATTTTGGCTTTCAATCATCAGATGTAGCACATAAAGCCATGTCAGATATGGACTTGTTGACAGTGGTTGACATGAAGCTCACAATTGCTAATTTTCTTGACAAATCTTTAAAGACTAAAATGAATAGCTGAATTACGTTTTCTTGCTTTTAACTATTTAGATTATCTATTCTCTTGTTGTGTGTTTATGGATGATCATGGTGACAATTGTTCTTTCATTGCGTCACCCAATGCTATGTAATTTTCGTTTTGTTTTCAAAGTAATTTTCATTTTTGTGAAATTGAGATCCATTGCCACCTTGTGCCTAAATGAAAAAATGAACAAAGAAAGAAATAATTTCTTTCGTTGAGGGTTGAATAGAGATGATAATGAATAGTAATAAACGAATATTTGTTATTATTCAATTTGTTTATTTCGAATTTAGATAATTATGAATGAATAATTAATAGATTCAGATAAAAGATTTACTATACATAATATATTTAAAGTGGATACAGGTATTATCTCTGGATATTTAATATCTAAATCTATTTAAGTTTTAGTGAATAATAATAGATATCTAAATTTGTATTTAAATTCATTACCCATTTACATATTTAAAATATATAAAATTTAATATTTATAAAAGATTTCGAACTTTAAAAAATAATTTTTATTTATTATTAATTAAAAATAAACTTAAATTTCAAATTAAATCTTATTTATTTTATATTTTAATAAAAATTTTAAATAAATGAATAATTTAATAAATTTAAATATTTAAATCGATAATACTTATTTAAATATATTCAAATTTAAATAATAATATTAAATTTAAATAAATTTAAATATTACAAATATTAAATAAATTCGTATATAAATATTAAAAAAATGACGAATATCTATGCTATTCTCATTGCTAGGGTTAAACTCAAAGCCAAATGAGCTAAAAAAGCTATACTCTTTTTAGCAGCCGCGCACGTGGAAAGTTCCAAAAAGAAAAAACGACGTTTCAAAACGCGTTTCAATGAGTAGTCCAATCAAATTCCTTCATTAACGAATATGAGTCCTCGCCCAGTGATGCAATCAGCCAATCACAGCCACCCACCGCTGCTTTCTTCCCCCAAACTTACGCAGTTTTGAAAGGAGGGGCATTTCCAAAATTTAGAAAACTTATTGGACAAGTCAGCAAAAAGACCAAAACAATTTTTCATAATAAAGGCTGAACCCCGGACCGTAAGTTCGGTGGAGAGTGTCTCTCTGTTCTTTCCTTCCTTCCTTCGTTTCTCTCTCTCCTTTAATTTCTTCGTCTCTTCCTTCTACTTCCATCCTTCTAGGGTTTTTTTGGGTTATTCATTTCAATTTATGAACTTTTTGGGTTCTTCATTTCAATAAATTTTCCACAATAATTAGATTAAAAGAAAAAAATTGCTTTCTTTTCTTTGTGATTCCCAGAAAAATGGAGTCAAATCCATGGAGCTTTCGATTTTCCAATTCTTCTTCTTTCAAGGCGTCACCTATCTCGATCTGGTTAGTATTTTCCGTTTGGTTCTGGAGACAGTAGGAAATGAAACGATTTGAATTTGCGATGAATTTTGATTTTTGTTGTGTTTAGATCTGTTTCTAGGAGAAGGGTATGAAGAAGTTGACGGAGATGAGGATTTCAAGGCCGAGTTTTTATGTCCGTTTTGTGCTGAGGATTTCGACATTGTTGGACTTTGTTGCCACATCGATGAGGAACACCCTGTTGAAGCAAAAAACGGGGTACCCATTCGTAATTTCTCAAAAAAAAAAAAAAGAAATTTTGTGTTTGTATTCATGAAATTTGGGTTTTTCTTATTGAATTTAGAAAAAGATATGAGCTTTGTTTAGATAGTTTCATATAGTGATGAAGGAGTGTTTTGAGGTTTACAAGTAGAAGCAATGTGCATCAGTGTATGGAGTGGTTCATGATTGGAAATTTTTTTTTTTTTTTAAATTGAAGTGGGATTTTACTCTTGGGCTGTTGAAATTGGGGATTTAACTTAAATAAGATTTTTGATAATTTTTTTAGCTATGTGTCTTTCATTGTGAATTTTACTGCTCCTAATCTTAGAGTGGTAGATCAACCGAACTCAGAGTTATGGAATATAAGGCTTAGTTTGTTGCTTAGTTTGTTGTTATTGTAGTCTTAGAGTGGTAGATGTTGTTTGCTTTAGTATCATCCTCATTTCCCGTGTCTAGATTCCTTCACAATACCGTTTTAGGCTGTTTAGCTTTTAAATTAATTGGATAAATTCTATGATTCTTCATGCTTTTGATCTTCTTTTTATATGTGTTGTTGGCCTGTTGGATTGCTTGAGAGTTAAACTCGAAATTTGCTTAATAGGCGTTTGGTTGAATGTTACCTTTTCAGGTGTGCCCGGTTTGTGCAAAGAGGGTTGGAATGGATATTGTTAGCCATATAACCTTGCAACATGGGAATTTTCTTAAGATATCCTTTTTATGTTGGTTTTGTTTGTCTGGGTTTATTTGGTATCTCTTTTTTCGGTACTTCTGTCGTGGCTGGTTAAACAATACTATATCCATGTAGATCTGGTCCGAATATTGATCTGTCTATTTTCAAAAGACTAAAAGTATTAATCTGCTTTCATCTTCTTCGAGGTGCTTGACCACATGCCCTGTGGTGTGGCAATGCATGCGAAACATAATAAACTTTGTTAGGGGTATGGGCATTTGTTTTTTTCATCTTTATTTTAGAATCAATCTACGTATCTGCTTACAGTGACCTAATTTGTATGTTGATGTTGCTGTAAAAGAACTTTCCTTTCTCTAGTTTGTTTGTAAGTTAGTATGTCATGATGAAGGATTCAGGTTACTCCTTGACTGGATATTACGTGCAGCGCAAGAGGAGATTACGCAAGGGTGGATCCAACTTGACGTTTTCTATGTTGAGAAAAGAACTGCAAGAAGGAAATTTGCAGACCCTTCTTGGGGGTTCGTCATGCATTGTTTCTTCCTCCAATGTAGAACCGGATCCATTATTATCATCATTTATGTTTAATCCGCCCACAGGTGATGAGCCTTTAAGCTTGCAGCCTCTTTCCATTGCTGAAGCAAGTGCTGTAAAGGAAAGCACAAGTAAAGAATTTCTAGAAAGGTATAGCTGCTGGTGTCATTTATTCTTGTGATATTAGTACTTTTGTTTCTCTATCTGGTTCTCTGAAAATGATAGGGCTGCTGCTAGTCCACTACGTTCTTTGATTTAGTGAACAACTTTGAGCAAGTAACCAAAGTGTAGAAATTTAAATGGCTTAGGTAAAAGATATTTTATTGTTATTATTGGCCTTGCTGATCAGTTGGTAGATACCACTTGATCATAGTGACAATTGATGCTATGTACATACCTTTTCCTTTGTTGGAAAGGGCTATAAAGGCAATCAATGTTGTCAATTGATGAAATTTTTAACCACATTGGAAGCATCTTGCATTTTCTTTCCCAATTCCTTCTTGGTAGGAACTTTCCCTGCCTTATGCTTTCATGTCATTCACCATTCTAAGTCATCAATTAGATTTAATTTTCTAACACTAGTTTATCATGACAGAAAGCCTCAACAGTCGCAACTGTCGGACAAGGAGCACGAGGAGAAAGCTCGAAGGTGTGAGTTCGTCCAAGGGCTGTTGATGTCCACCATTCTTGATGATAGCTTATAAGTTAATGGGGGTATTTGTAGTGATTAAGCCAATATAAATATTAGGTCTGAGAGTAAAGCATAAAGAGGAAGATCTTTCACTCTACTTCAGAAATGGTAATGGGGTCATCGGTTAGATCAGTGGAACTTTGTTATTTCTATTGTATTTAGAGCTTTTGTGCATAATTAAAGATGGAAGAACTTTATCTTATCCCGGACTTACCTGAACTTGAAATATCTAGATGCAGTTGCCATGCTAAACATGTTTTTAAGTAAGAGGATTATATGTTGATCTCATGTCAAATAATTACGCTTGTCATTTTTTATTGAAAAACAAAAAATGAATGATTTTTGTCCATCACTTAGGCTTCCACCAGAGGGGTAGATTGATCAGAGCGGTGGTAAGCCGAACCTATCCCACAATGGTGGTTTTCACCAAGTAGCAGAGCTATCCTCTTATTTACGAGAAAAAGAAGAGCTATGAAGTTTGGAATTCACATTCACTCCTAAGAAAGTCACTCAAATGTTGGATAAGATTTGATTTCAAACCTTAACTACAAATCATTGGTTATCAACATTATGGATCAAGTCATCAACTTTTCACATGGAAAAGGGTGCAAATTATCGATGCCTAAAGAGTAGTGTGGGTCTTTTGTGTGGGTGAACAATTCTTTTCACCAACTGGAACGCCTGGATGGGGGGGGGGGGGGGGGGGGGGGGGGGCGATGATGACATTTGACATTTTCTACTAGTAGAATAACATAATTGCCTATGAAGCACTGAGAGATTCGTATCCCGGCCTCACTCACAAAAACCCATAAAAAAAAAAAAAAACCCATTGTCTAAACGTTTTTACCATGCCAACTGTTGCAAATTAACTTGTCTGGGCTAAGCTTTTCTGGCCTTGACCACGAAGTTTTGATATTTTCTTCTTGTACTTTAGGTGTGAGAATAGATTCGTCTGTGGAAGGCACTAAAACTTCACGTGTCCAGTATCAATGAAAGGGAAGGAAAAAAAAGGAGAAACTGTAAAAGGAAAAACACAGTTGAATATAGGTTGAAGTTTAAGGGAATGAATTTATCTCCCTCAAGAAGAAGAGCTAAACATGGTGGGGATCGAATTCCCACCTTGCATGTCTTCTTAAGCCTTTAGCCACTAGACAAAAAACTGAAGACTGAGCTGAAAGAGCTAACATGTTATTTCACCTCCACTGAAAAACATAATGTTTGGATCCAATATCAAGCTCTATAACAATGTTAGTACAAGTAGTATGTTACACATACTAAACTCCAAAAGGCACAAGTATATACAAATATCATAGAAATTTTCATCATCATCAAAACAAACTTATTAAGAGGTTGTAGCGATTCTAACTCTTCAGGGCCATGAAGCTCATAAAAGAACATGGAGTGTCAAAGGAAGCCCACCAGACCAGATGAAATGGAATATCATGTCTATCTGTGTTCTTGTATCCACCATAATCCATACAAAATAAAGTGTCTTCTCACATCCATGAGGAAGAACTACAAATAGGGTATGCAATTTCAAGAATATGTAAGAGCTAAGGCTGATGGGGCTAGATAAAAGGTTTGGAAGTCAATCTTCTGAGATGCTGGGATTCTCTTCCGAGTTAAGCGGTCAGTTTCTGTTATGACTTGGACCTTTGTTCACCTGCAGTATGTACTGTGGGAAACAAAGAACCTGAAGTCTGGATGGTCCACTTGCAATAACCTAAGCCAGTTATCAGCTTCCCGCAAAAGCAAATTAGCTTTCTGAGATTCATTAACTTCATCAGGATTCCAAACGGAAACTTTGAACTTATAGAAAGCAAGTCCAAAGGGAAGCAACGGTAGCTTTGAGGACATGTCGGCACCATGAAACTCCCTAACATTAAAGCCTCGAAGGGGCAGCCCATCCATGCCAGTAGCTGCTCCAAACAATAGTCAAATCAAATTGTAAACAAAGTGTCAGGCAAAAATAATATAGACATGCAACCACATATAAAAGGGTAAAAAAGATGTTTACCTGATGAGGGTGTAGATAGAGAGTGATAGGTTAAAAAGCAGGCATCAAGATTTTGCAGAGTTGGACCCATTGGTATCCTGTATATAGGATACCTTCATAAAAAAAAAAGGTAGTCAGATATAATCAAGTTTAAAATCACAATTGGAATAAACAAAAATCATAGTTTCATGAAGTATTTTAAAAAGATAAAAACATACCATGCCACAGAAATCCAACTTGAAGGTGATAGATCACAGCTCCTGTATGTCCTTAGAGCTGGAAATTGAGATGCCAGAACCGAAATCTGCAGTATGCATGGTTATTAGAGAGAGCAAAACAAGTGGCTAATGCTAATGTAACAAAGGACAAGGGACTTACTTTGTCAGCCAACGGCTCACGACTAAATGGTTGGTCATGCTCTAAGTATTCAAAAATAAGCTGACCAGGAGGGTTACAACTATCGGTTTCATCACTTGATGATCCCCCAACGGTTCTATTTCTAAGTGACAGTCTAGTCAATGTCTGAATATTGGCATCTGCAATCTCCGGCGGACTCCAAGCCTCCTGGATGACATTGTTAGCTCTTCTTCCCATTCGACAATCACTGTTGCTACCATCACTACTTGTCTCCCTGGATGACTCAGTATCACTCTCCTCACCAGGCCTCCTGTTCAAAGATAGATTGCAAAATGAAATAACCCAAAAAGCAGCTATTAAACTAGCATTCCAAGGAAAAATTACAATTAATGATTTACAGCTCAAGAAAACTCATCACCTTGCACTTTAACCTCTGTTTATCTAAGTATGATTATGGACTGGACAACTGTCAGCTAAGACTTGAGCAACATGACTTCCCAAGTTAATAAAAAAGCATTTACTCATAGCATGTAATTAGATAAAAAATAGGTGTCAATAGTTTTACCTTTGCCATGGGGAGGGTTTTGACGAGTCTATATACAACTGAATGGCAGACAAATAAGGGACATAGTATTGCATTACAGAGTCACTCCCATTCAACAAAAGAGGAACCCCTGTCCCATATGCACTCCATTCCTTAAAAGATTCCCACAAATCCTCAAGCACAAAATATGGACACTCCATTCCATGCTCTTGCCCTCTCCAACCTTTTATGCTTGTCTGTAAGATCACCAAAATTTCATCAATAAAAGCTTCACCAGCATTAAAAAAAACCCTTAAACACTTCATATTTTCTTAACATTTTCGAAAAACAATTCCCTATTTTGCATTGATTAATAATAAGAAATTTCTGGTTGCCTGTCTTCTGTTGTTTAGTAAAATATCTTCAATTTTACTATATGTTCTGACTAATAAAATAATGCAAAATCCTTTAATTTTCTATTGGGTTTTGATTCTTACAAAGAAATTAAAATTAAGTCAAGTAATTGCTAGGGCTGTAAATGAACATGAATGAACATATGTCTATGGTTTGTTCGTTCAATTTTAGAAGTGTAAGAGCTTAGTTCGTGTTTGGTAAAAAAATTGCTCTGTTTGTTTGAGTTTGGTTTGTTTAAATGATAGGATGTTCACATTCAGTAATTCAATTAAGTTAAATGAACTCGTTCACAAACATTAAATCGCAAATATTAAACAAACATATTTATGTTCATAAACAATAAACAAATCATAACCAAATAAATTTAAACGAACAAACATTCAGTAATTCAATTAAGTTAAATGAACTCGTTCACAAACATTAAATCGCAAATATTAAACAAACATATTTATGTTCATAAACAATAAACAAATCATAACCAAATAAATTTAAACGAACAAACATAAACGAACCCAAAAGAACATAAAAAACCCTTAAAATATAATTAGATTCTTACAAAGAAATTAAAGTCAAGTAATTGCATTAGTTGCAGCTAATCATTAAAAAGAAAAAACCAAATTTCCACATATTTCCTCAACATAAAACAGGACAGGACCAGTGCTTTTAATCAATCAAAGGATCCCAAAAGTTAAAGATTGAACCATTTAAAAAAAAAGTCAAATCTTGATAAATAAAAGTTGGTTTTTTTTTTTTTTTGTATTTACCTTGGGCAAATATTGAGCTGGAACCACAGGAGTCGTAAACTCCAAGAATCGACCCAAATTTGTCGAATTATCATCATTTCCTTTATTATTACTACTATTATTCAACGACGATGAAGATGGAGATGACGTGGCGCATTCCTCGTGATCCGTTCTCTTCTCCGTCAAACTCTTGGAAATCAAGGGCCTTTGTTCTCGCCGCTGCATCGTCATCTGCTGCTGCTGCTGCTGTTGTTGTTGTTGTTGTTGCTGTTGCTGTTGCTGTTTCCTCATCGGCGGCGGATTATAAAAGCGATTCTCGCCGCCTCGGCTTCTCGCAATCGAAACGCCACCGGAACCAGACATTGCAAGCAACGCAGAAACGACGCCGTTGAAAAAAACAGGGCTGTTCTTTCTGTTGTGGATGTTAGGGTTTTAGTGAATCAGAGGAAGATACAGCGAAAGAGAGAGAGAGAGATTGAGTGAGGATTTGTGATTGTTTGTTTAAAACAGTGATTTGGGAGAGAGAAGAGAAAGATATGTGGCGACCGGTGATGAAAGGAAAAGAGAGAGATTTTTGTCTTTGGTGTTTTGATTTTGGTCAAAACGTAAAAAATTTTATTTCATGAAATAATTAACATATATGAAAAATAAATAAAATATATTTTTTTCTCTTTTTAAAATATATTGGATCAATCTTTTAGCGATATTTTCTTCTTAAAATTGAACTCTTATTTCTTGTTACAATATAAAGTAATAATTATGCAAAAATATTATTTTTTTATCAAATAATTAATTCAGAAAAAAATTTGAATTTAACTTTAATAAAAAAAATAGATGTACTTATTATAGAGTAAAATACTTTTAATAAAAAATAAGCATCCAATTATATTAATCTAAAGTGTTTTTTTTTAATTTTTGAATCAAAATAATTAAAATTAAAAATATTATTTTAATTTAAATTAATTATAGATTTAAGTTTAATTTAATAATAAAAAATATATGATTTACGTTAGCGTAGGTAAAGTCTTACTTTTTAATAAATATGATAATATATGCAAATAGTATGATCATAAATTATGAGTAATTCTTATTATTCATGTGGTTTTAAGAAAAATGATGAAATTTATATTAATATGAAAGGAGTATATTTTTTTATAATAAAATAAGAGAAAATAGTATATTTGATAATTTTAAATATGATACGATGATATGTTATGAAAACGATTTAAATAAAATATATAAAAATAATATGATTTAAAATTTTAATAAAAATTATAAATAAATTTAATAAAATTAAAAGATATATATTTTATATTTTTTGTCAATACAAATTGTGATACATCATTTTTATATAAAACATGATATGAATATATAAATTATTAATATTTTAATGATATAAATATATAAATTATCGAGAAAAGAATTGAAGTGACGAGAAATAGAGAATTAAAAGATGTTTTTCACAAAAAAAACATTTTTTTTTCCATGGAGGATTTTTTTTTTTTAACATTTTTTACTAAATGGAGTAAAAGTTTTGGGGATGTTGCTTTGGATTTCGGAAATTTGGTCATTGGGATATTCTATGATTCTTCTCAAGAAGGATATATTCTGTAGTTTGGAATATTCTTTGTTGACTTTCATTTTCATCTTAGTTTTTTTTTTTTTTTTTTTTTTGAAAATTTTCCTTTGTGTCTCTATTGAGCCACCCATATTCAAAAGCGAAAATCAAATCCAAGCATTTTTGCTTACAGCAGCTGGACTTTATGACACCCTGGCACATGAGAGTAGCTTTTTTCTGTCTCATGTTATTATTATTATATTAATAATTTTTTTTTTATACTTGTATGATTTATTAATAAAGAGTTAAACTTTTAATTTTATTTTTTAGAATTCAATAAAAAAAAATCCAACCAATATTTTATGTATACCCATTGTTTTGTTTTGGGTGGAATTTTGGTATAAAGTCAATGATTTTATAGTTTGACTGATCTTCTTTATTACAGCTTTTATATGGAATGAGAAAAAAAATTAGAAAATTAAAAATTGATTTAAAATTTTAGTGTTCATTCGATTGAGATTGATTTTTTAATTTACTTTAAATTAAAATCCAATATTAAATATATATATATATATATTAAGTTTGAATCAAATTTAAATTAAAAAGTAAAAAAAATTTAAATAGAATTATATATTTTTAATAATTTTATATATTTTAAATTTTTATAAAATAAAATAATTATTTTATACCTAAATCTATTTAAATATATTTAAAATCATATTAAAATAATATATAAATAAATTTAACAAAACAATGAACCATATAATTTAATTTGGATTGGATTATATAAAAATTCGGTTTAGATTTAGATTAAATTTTAAAAATTCATAATTTTATACATTATTTAAAAAAATCAAATTGAATTTGATTAAATTTAAATTGTTATCAGCCCTATAGCTATAACAACTACTAATTTCATAGTTATAAAATATTGAACAAAATTATTTATTTTACATAAAAAGTCTCTAATTTTTAAAATTTTTGATTCAATAATTAATGTATAATTTTTTATTCAAATAACTGTATTTTAATATCTTTGTCAAATAAATAAATTTTTTAATATGTATACGAGCATTTGGATCAATAATTAGTATATAATTCTAATCTCAAAGAACTAGGTTTGAATTCTTATTTTCAAAAAAAAAAAAAAAGCCTTAGTTGAATTTTATTTTTGATATCATCAATTATGGGTTTCAAGATGTTTAATACGCTTGGAAGGCCCAAAATCAAAATGTAGTCCAAGTCTCCAACAAGACCAACAAAGAACCAAAAATAGCATAGGCTTAATTGCTTAAAATTGAGAAACGACACCGTTTTGAAGGCTAAACGACTTCAAAGGTACAAGGCGAAGCTTACAACACCATTGGAACGCACCGCGGCCCCTAGCCGAAGAAAGCAAAGACCGCTCCTTTCTCGCTTCTTCGATTCCGGTAATTCCATTGAGTTATTAAGTTTCGAGATTTTTATCTCATCTTTCTGGGGATTTAGCGATTTGGGTTTCTTGTTTTTCTATAAAAGAAGAAGCTTTAGTTTCATCCTTTGTTTTGTTCATTTGATGTTTTAGCATTTCGTTTGCTTCACATATACTCTTTGATTTTGTATCTTCTGAGAACTGGAGATGATTCGCATTCGATAAGTATTTCTATCTTTCTGTTTGATGGTGAATGGCTATGGGATAATTAGTTTGCTATTATGGGTTTCACTTGAAATTTCATTTTTAGCTTCCCTCAATGTTCCCTGAAGTTTTAACTTGATGTTATACAGCTTGCAGGGGAGAACATGTTATAAAACAAGGCAAACCCAACTTTAAACAAGTCAACTGGCTTTGCCTCGGAAACGATTCTACCGAGCACAAGCACCCAGCAACCGTCTATGTGACTCTCACTTCCCTGTTCCTCTTTTCACCAGCCATCTTGACTATTCACTTCATTACTCTCAATTGTTCCCTTGTCTGATCAGATTGATAGTTCCAAAAAGATCCAGTTTGCGGATGTTGGTTGTGGTTTTGGAGGGCTTTTAATTAGTCTTTCAACTCTTTTCCCTGAAACTCTAATGATTGGGATGGAACTTGGGGATAAAGTGGTAATGTGAGGAATAGCTTTCAAAGATGTTTTTCTTATTTCCTGATCCTCACTTCAAAGAGAAAAATCATCCTGGTAGGGTAATCAGTGCTCACTTGTTAGATCATTAGAGAATCATCCCATGTTTGAAGCCCTCTCAGACAAGGAGCTTGAAGCAGATCCTTTTGTAAAACTATTGAATACTGCAACTGAAGAAGGACAAAAAGTTGCTAGGAATGAGGACAGACTTTCCAAGCAGTTTACAGACAAACTGCGCCGGATTCATGAGAGAACAGTTTGTCTGCTCAGGCTTCATTGAGCCAACACAAAATTCTTGGTTGTAGTAAAGAAAGGTTTGTGCCGGTTACTTTTCTTCTTTCATGTTATTTCATGAGGATCCTTGTCTTTGATATATTTGTAATGCTATTACAAGCAACACAGGGAGGTATAGCATGATTTAGTGTTTTGCGTCTTTAACCATTCGGGATTGCTAAACAATTCAGTATTTAAATCTTAAACCAAGATTTTCATGAATTATTTTGTGATTATAATTAAATCACGTTGAGATTTTGTAATAACTTTCGAGAAAATCAAGTTTTGTAGGAATCAAAACTGTCTTATAATACCAAGTATGAACAAGGCAATAGCCATATCACATACCCTTCCTGAATGAAATTCATGTCATCCTATAGAACAAATGGGAAACCAAAATAAAACATAAAAAGTGAAAGTAAACTCTATTTGAGTTTGAAAAGTTATGTAGTATATTTCTCTGCAATATCCTTGTTCAGTAAGATGCTTTCTAGATGGTCCAATTCTTCTCAAAAATTTGCCAAAAGGCCCCATGCTCAAACGTAATTATTTCATGATCCTACCCTTTTTTTTTTTTCCTTCTAGATGTCGGTACCATTTAATATCATAAATGATAGATCTTTGATTGTTTATTTGTATACTGTTATGTACGAAAAAGTACTTGTTAATCTTTACTATCCAATTAATTAATAAAAATATGAAGTTCCTTGACGGCACATTGGATTATTTATTCCCTATAATATTCTTTCCAAGTATATTTATGTTAGCATTTTCAATAAATATCAAGAAAAAAAAATGTAGCAGAAGTTTGGTACAAAACGTTTAAAATGATTAATTGGAGATTGACCATGAAATTTTCATGCAAGGTGCCTTCTTTGACTACCGCAATTTCTTTGTGACTGGATCTATCCAATTAAAAAATTGAAGAAATTAAATAGTTAAGCTTCAAGGTCAGTCTATAAATATCATCTTAATTCTCACTTGTTTCCACACCTCAAACACTCAGTTCAATCTTCTTTTTCATTCTGTTTATCTTCCTTAAAATTAAATCATGGGTGTTTTCACTTATGAAATGGAGGTTGCTACCTCAATCCCCCCAGCCAAGATGTTCAAGGCCTTTGTTCTCGATGCTGACAACCTTTTCCCAAAGGTTGTGCCACAGGCAATCAAGAGCTCTGAGCTTCTTGAAGGAGATGGTGGCCCTGGAAGTATCAAGAAGATCACTTTTGGTGAAGGTTAGTTTTCATTTCTTGCCACTTGAAATTCCTTTTCGTTTTATGTTATTTATTTGATTGGTGACAAATGTAGGCAGCCAATTCAAGTGTGTGAAACACAAGGTTGAAGGAATAGACAAAGAGAATTTCTCATACTGTTACAGTGTGATCGAAGGCGATGTTTTGACGAACACATTTGAGAAAATCAGTTATGAGACCAAGTTCATGGCAGCACCAGGTGGAGGATCAATTTGCAAGAGCAGCAGCAAGTACTATACCATTGGTGGCATTGAGATCAATGAAGAGCAAATTAAAGCTGGCAAAGAAAGGGCCTCTGGAATGTACAAGGCTGTTGAAGCTTACCTCTTGGCAAATCCTGATCTCTACAACTAGGTTGCTACTGCTTGATATGTCATTCGTGTCATCTCAGTTTTAATGGTTTGATTTTGATATTTCTTTCTCTCTTGGCCAAAATTGCCATTGGTTGTTTAATAAGAGTGGTAGTCTCTGGCTGTGATCATCTGTATTTCATTATAATTAAAGAGTTTGAGTTGTATTATCTTTGATATACGAAATAAAATCAAGGTTTGGGTTCATTTACAATATTAATTGGTATTTATTTTGCATTTTTTTATTTCATAAATCTTTTGAGTTCAATTAGGAGTGATGGAATCCAAATCCTCCTATTGCCTATACATCAACCTTAAGTCAGATAGAGAATTGAATCCGAAGCTTAATTCAAGTGGTTCATAGCTATCCTTTAAAATGTGGCATCGAACAGACATACGATTCAAATTCCAGCATATATAATTCTTTCTTTATCTTTGACTACAACCTTCTTTATAAAAAAAAAATGAAAAATTAGATAAAAAATTTGACATTTGTTGTCCAAAATTTCCACTTAATAACTGATATGGGCAGTGATACTAAGTCTACAACAATCTTTGACAGCATTACTCAATAGAAATAGGCAAAGAGTTGGTGAATTAAAAAATAACATATAAGGAGAATATTTATGTCACTACCATTGGTTCACCTGTCAACAGTGAGAGGAGATATATGCTAAAGAAACAGGGTCTTTGGTTCACCTGTGGCCAAAAGCTATGAGTTGAAGGTTATTAGGTGGAAATTTTACCACATAGCTACGAGTTCCTAATAGTCCAAGCACTTGAATTCAAGCTCTTCTTCTGTACTTAAAATACTAGAGTTCTTTCCTTTTAATCTTCTTCTGATATTGACTGCTTCCAAGATCCATAAATTTGTTCTTTATAGCAAGCTTGTGTTTTGCATTTCGAAGAATATGTAAGGTAGGTACACAAACCAGAATCAATCGCAAGTTTTATTAGGTGATTTCTGGACTAAATTGCAAAACCAGGAAAGTTATTCTTCATTCTGACTCTATAAATACTACAGCTTCAGCTTCTCATCTCACGCCTCACATATCTCAATCAATTCTATTTTCATTCATCTGATCATTTCCAAAATCAGTAGTAATCATGGGCGTTTTCACTTACGAATCTGAGGTTGTTATTGCAATCTCACCAGCCAAGATGTTTAAGGCTTGTATCATTGATGGTGACAAGCTCATTCCCAAGATTGTTCCTCAGGCTTTTAAGAGCGTTGAGTACATTGAAGGCAATGGTGAGCCCGGCAGCATCAAGAAAGTTACTTTTGGAGAAGGTTAGTTAATTTATATATGCAACTAAATACATTTTTTTGGTACAAAGACATCAGCCTGGGGATAGGGTAAAGGATTGCACTTGCAGTGCTGGGATTTGAGCTCCTGCTGAGCTAATCTCCGATTCAACTAAGTACTTTGAATAATATATTGAATTAGAACTTAGAAGTGCTGTTACTAAGAAGTAATAACTACTCTATATTTGCTTTTCCAAATACAGGAAGTCAATTCAATTACGTGAAGCAGAAGGTAGAAGCACTAGACAAAGAAAATTTTGCGTATAGTTATAGTGTGATCGAAGGCGACGCTTTGATGAACACACTTGAGAAAATCGCTTATCAGACAAAGTTAGAGGCCTCTGCGGCTGGGGGATCGATATGTAAGACTATTAGTAAGTATTATACCATAGGTGACTTTGAGCTCAAGGAGGAGGAAATCAAGGCAGGCAAAGAAAAGGCTTTGGGAATGTTCAGGGCTGTTGAAGCCTACCTCCTATCAAATCCTGATGCCTACTAAAAACCCCAATAGCAATATCCACTTCAATGATCATACAATGTGGAATGAATATGTGCTTGATTGAGAGAATTTCCTTTTTTTTTTTCCTTTTATTTTTGCAGTTGTTGGTCCATATGACCTTCAGATTGGTAATAAGAGTTCATAGTTTGTCTGGGAAGCTTGAACTGTAACAAATAAAGGAGCATGGAAATGGAATTTGTTTACTAAAAATTGTTGTGTGATCAAGCTATTGATTGAAAATGATGAGTGCATTATCTTCATCTTTCAAGATTTGCTAATTATATATTGAACATAAGAAAGTCAAGTTTCAGAAGAAATGTAATGCAATTTGTAAGACAGATTTGTTGAGGAAATCTAAATCCATAATTTTGACATTGGATGGAGGAAAGGGTTATGGTGGAATTTAGGGTCATTGAGATGATGATTTCCACTAGCATTTTCCAAAAGGATGCTTACATAGCAGGTTCAGACAATATAGATAAATTTTTTTTTTTTTTGGTTTTTTTAATGAAATAATATTTGGGAATATTTCAAACCCCAAGAATCGTGAAAAGGGTAGATAAAGAAAAATTCACTCTAACAACGACAAATGGAGTACTCAAGATGTTCTAAGTACCCACGGTGAAGTTCAAGGGTGACTTTTGGCGAAAAACAGGGGGCTAATTGTTGAAGAAAAATTAGAAGTTGTATTAATTTAGTTAGTGTAAAAGAAGCATTTGAGAAAAGAAAAGTCTCAAAATTTCACCTTTGGTTTATCTTACATGAACATAACCATGTTAAAGCTAGGCATAGAAACATTGATCAAGATTGGCTGAGGATCCTGACTGGGGGAGAACTGGAAAGGGGGACAGAATTGCTGTTGCTGCGAGAAATTATGTAACTTGTTCTATTCTAACTCCTTCTAAAGTCGTTTCATGTTATTTTGTTGCCTTGCTGCAACATGTTTTACTCCGGGGAAAATGAAAAAACAATTACCAACAAATATATTCTCATACTAAATTTTTCTTGCATCATTATCGTTTCAACCATGTTTGACCTGTGACATATATAGGATGAGATTTATAAATTGGCAAGAATCTAATCGATTAGAATGTCAACAGAAAGTAGCTATAGTTAGTTTCACATAATCCAAGCACTTGAATTCAAGGTTTATTAGGCCATTACAATGTCAACGTGACCGTTTGCTATCATTGTTTTCACTTGAATTTTCATTTTTAGCTTCCCTCAATGTTCCCTGAAGTTTTATCTTGATGTTATACAGCTTGAAGGGGAAAAACATGTTGGAAAACAAGGCAAACCCAACTATAAACAAGTAAACTGGCTTGCCTCGGAAACGACTCTACTGATCACGAGCACACAGCAACCCTCTAAGTGACTCCCATTTCCCTGTTCCTCTTTTCCCCAGCCATGTTGACTATTCACTTCATTACCCTCAATTATTCCCCTTGTCTGATCAGATTGATAGTTAAAAAAAGACCCAGTTTGCGGATGTTGGTTGTGGTTTTGGTGGCGTTATAATACGTCTTTCAACTCTTTTCCCTCAGACTCTAATGATTGGGATGGAGCTCAGGGATAAAGTGAGTATGTGAAGGAAAGAATATCTCTGTTGTTCGGGCTAATTCGATGAAATACATTCCCAACTACTTTCAAAGATGTTTTTCTTATTTCCTGATCCTCACTTCAAAGAGAAAAACCATCTTCATAGGGTAATCAGTGCTCACTTGTTAGATGAGTATGCTTATGTTCTTCAGGTTGGTGGGATTATATACACAATTACATTTGTGGAAGAACTTGGAGAATGGATGAAGTCTTGTTTAGAGAATCATCCCATGTTAGAAGCCCTCTCAGGGAAAGAGCATGATGCTGATCCTGTAGTAAAACTCTAGTCCTGCAACTGAGACAAAAAGTTGCTAGGAATGGGGACAGACTTTTCAAGCAGTAACAGACGAATTGCGCTGGATTCATGAGAGAACAGTTTGTCTGCTCAGGCTTCATTGAGCCAAAGGATAAATTGTCTGGTTTAGTAATACGTTTAGTGCGGTTACTTTCTTCTTCATCTATTCATGAGGATCATTGTCTTCGAAATACTTGTAACGCTATTATTAAGAAGAGTAAAAAAAAAAGCAAAAAGCAAAACATGGAGGTATAGCATATTTTAGCGTTTTGTATCTTTAACCATGCAGTGTTGCTAAACAATTCATAATATGAATCTTAAATCAAGATTTTCATGAAGGATTTTGTGATTATAATCAAATCACGTTGAGATTTTGTAATAACTTTCAGAAAATCAAGTTTTGTCGGGATCAAAACTCTTTGTCTTTAAGACCAAGTATGAACAAGGCAATAGGCATATCACATACCGTTCTTGAATGAAATGCAAGTCATCCTACAGTCATCCAAGACAAAACATAAAAAATCAAAGTAAACTCTATTTGATTTTGAAAAAATATGTAGTATGTTTCATATTTAAATTTGGCATATGTTGACATTGAATTTTTCTCAGGAATAGCCTCTTTCAGTAAGATACTTGCTTTCTAGATGGTCCAACTCCTCTTAAGAATTTACAGTCTGTTCAGATGCCCAAAGGCCCTTGTTCAAATGTAATTATTTCATGATTCTACCTTTTTTTTTTCTTCTAGGTGTCTATAAACCATTAAATATCATAAATGGTAAATCTTCGATTGTTTATTTGTTTACTGTTGTGTACGGAAAAGTACTTGTTAATATTTAATATCCAATAAATTAATAAAAAATGAAGTTCCTTGACAGCAAAATTTGATTATTTATTCCCGATGATATTCTTTCCTAGTATATATATGTAAGAATTTTCAATAAATATCAAGAAAAAAAAATGTAGCAGAAGTTGGTACAAAACGTTTAAAATAATTAATTGGAGATTGACCATGAAATTTTCATGCAGGGTGCTTTCTTTGACTACTGCAATTTCTTTGTGACTGGATCTATCCAATTAAAAAATTGAAGAAATTAAATAGTTAAGCTTCAAGGTCAGTCTATAAATATCATCTTAATTCTCACTTGTTTCCACACCTCAAACACTTAGTTAAATCATCTTTTTCCCTCTGTTTATCTTCATTAAATTTGAATCATGGGTGTTTTCACTTATGAAATGGAGGTTGCTACCTCAATCCCCCCAGCCAAGATGTTCAAGGCCTTTGTTCTTGATGCTGACAACCTTTTCCCCAAGGTTGTGCCACAGGCAATCAAGAGCTCTGAGCTTCTTGAAGGAGATGGTGGCCCTGGAAGTATCAAGAAGATCACCTTTGGTGAAGGTTAGTTTTCATTTCTTGCCACTTAAAATTCCTTTCCATTTTCTTTTGGGAAATATAGCAGTATGTAACTTATTTGATTGGTAACAAATGTAGGCAGCCAATTCAAGTATGTGAAACACAAGGTTGAAGGAATAGACAAAGAGAATTTCTCATACTGTTACAGTATAATCGAAGGCGATGTTTTGATGAACACATTTGAGACAATCAGTTATGAGACCAAGTTCATGGCAGCACCAGGTGGAGGATCAATTTGCAAGAGCAGCAGCAAGTACTATACCATTAGTGACATTGAGATCAATGAAGAGCAAATTAAGGCTGGCAAAGAAAGGGCCTCGGGAATGTACAAGGCTGTCGAAGCTTACCTCTTGGCAAATCCTGATCTCTACGACTAGGTTGCCACTGCTTGATATGACCTTCATGTCATCTCAGTTTTAATAGTGTGATTTTGATATTTCTTTCTCTCTTAGTCAAAATTATCTCGATTGGCTAATAAGAGTTGTGCTTTCTGGCCGTGATCATCTGTATTTCATTATCTTTGATATACAAAATAAAATCAAGGTTTGGGTTCACCTGCAATATTAATTGGTATTTATTTTGCATTTTCTTTCTTTTTGTGCATTTTTTTTTCTTTTTGAGTTTAACTAGGAGTGATGGAATTCAAATCCTCGTATTTCCCATACATCAACCTAAAGTTAGATAAAGAACTGAATCCTAAACTTAGCTCAATTAATTCCATCCTTTAAGAGGCGGCTTCCATCAGACATAATTCCAGCGTTTGCAACATTTCCTTTATCCTTAGACTGAAATATATAAAAATCAGATACAGAATTCGATGTTTGTTGTCTCCACAACTATTTTTGACAGTATTACTCAGCAGAACTAGGCAAAGAGTTGGTGAATTAAAAATAACATAAGAGGAGAATATATATATATATATATATATATATATATATATATATATTTATGTCACTGCCTTTGGTTCACCTGTCAACAGTGAGAGGAGAAATATGCTAAAAATCAGGGTCTTTGGTTCACCTTTGGCTAAAAGCTATGAGTTTAAGGTTATTAGGTGGAAATTTTACCACACAGCTATGAGTTCCTAATAGTCCAACCACTTGAATTCAAGCTCTTCTTCTGTACTTAAAATATTAGAGTTCTTTCTTTTTAATCTTCTTCTGATATTGACTGCTTCCAAGATCCATAAATTTGCTCTTTATAGCCAGCTTGTCTGTTGCATTTCGAAGAATATGTTAAGGTAAGTACACAAACCAGAATCAATTGCAAATTTTAATAGGTGCTTTCTGGACTAAATTACAAAACCAGGAAAGTTATTCTTCATTCTTACTCTATAAATGCTACAGCATCAGCTTCACATCTCACTTGAAAATAATCAATCAATTATATTTTCACTCATCTGATCATTTCCAAAATCACTAGTAATCATGGGTGTTTTCACTTACGAATCTGAGGCTGTTACTGCAATCTCACCAGCCAAGATGTTTAAGGCTTGTATCCTTGATGGTGACAAGCTCATTCCAAAGATTGTTCCTCAGGCTTTTAATAGTGTTGAGTACATTGAAGGCAATGGTGAGCCTGGGACCATTAAGAAAGTTACTTTGGGAGAAGGTTAGTTAATTTATATATGCAACTAAATACATTTTTTTTCGGTACAAAGAGGCATCAACCTGAGAATAAGGGAAGATATTGCACTTGCAATGCTGGGATTTGAACTCCTGTTGAATGCCACATTAGTGGCTACATGAGCCAACTGAACTAATCTCCAGGTTCAACTAAATATTTTGAATAATATATTGAATTAGAACTTAGAAGTGCAGTTACAAAGAAGTAATAACTACTCTATATTTGGTTTTCCAAATGCAGGAAGTCAATTCAATTACGTGAAGCACAAGGTAGAAGCACTAGACAAAGAAAATTTTGCGTATAGTTATAGTGTGATTGAAGGCGATGCTTTGATGAACACACTTGAGAAAATCACCTATGAGACAAAGTTAGAGGCCTCTGCAGCTGGGGGATCCATATGTAAGACTAATAGTAAGTATTACACCATTGGTGACTTTGAGCTCAAGGAAGAGGAAATCAAGGCAGGCAAAGAAAGGGCTTCGGGAATGTTCAAGGCTGTTGAAGCCTACCTCCTAGCAAATCCTGATGCCTACTAAAAACCCCAAGAATTGTCAAATAGGTAGACAAGAAAAATTCACTCAAACAATGAGAAATGGAGTACTCAAGATGTTCTAAGTACCTAACAGTGAAGTTAAACGGAGTACTTTACATAACAGTGAAGTTCAAAAGAGAATTTTGGGGTAAAAGGATCATTTGGGAAAAGCCAACTCTCAAAATTTCACCTTTGGTTTATATTACATGAACATAACCGTGTTAAAGTTAGGCATAGAAACATTGATCAAGATAGGCTAAGGATCCTGACAGGGGGAGAGCTGGAAATGGGGGACAGAATTCTGGCCTATGCTGCTGCTGGGAGAAATTTATGTAACATGTTCTGTCATGATTTCTAATTTCTACCACCTTCTAAAGTCATTTCATATTATTTTTTTGCTTTTTCTGCAACATTTTATTCCCAAAAAAAAAAAACAATTATCAACTGAAACAAATCTGTAAAGAACAAATGTTATATCCTATATCATTTAAGGTTATGGCATGTATATTTATATCATGAGAGAGAACAAGTATATTTACACATAACTAAATGTACAACTATTGACAACATATTCTATTACGTTCCCCTAAGCGATTGAGGAGAACTTCACAAGAACTTATTCGTAAATGGATGAAAAATTGAGGAAGAAAGGCCCTTGGTAAATATATCAGCTAGTTGTGATTGAGAACGAACAAAAAGGACTTAAAGAAAATGCTTGTAAACAAGGTCTCGAACAAAGTGATATTAGGTCTCTATATGTTTTGTGCGAGCATGAAAAACTGGATTGGCAGCAAGTTGAGTAGCACCAATATTGTTAGAATATACAGAACAAGGTAGTGCAAGAGGAAATTCAACCCCATTCAATATATAAGAAATCCAAAGTATATCTTAAAAAGCTATAGAAAAAACCCTATACATTGCTTCAGTACTAGATTGAGCAACAAAAACTTGCTTTTTAGTACACTATGAAATAGGATTGGAACTTAAGAAAACACAGTGACCCATTGTAGAACGTTTAGTGTATGGACAATCAACCCAATCAGCATCAACATAGCATACTAGATTCGGTGTAGTGCAAGGAAGTAATTGAATACCACAATTGATAGTTCCTTTAAGATATCTCAAGATTCGTTTTACAGCTTGAAAATGAATATCAGAAGGTGCATGCATAAATTGATAGACTTGTTGTATAGCATAGGTAATGTTAGGTTTAGTAAAGGTAAGATATTGCAAAGCTCTAACAATGGTGCGTTATTGTAATGGGTTTGAAAGTAAAGTTTCATTAGATAGAGAAAACTTCTTACTAGTAGTTATTGGAGTAGAAGTAGGTTTATAGCAAACGTGAAAGTAAAGATAACATATATTTTGTTTGTGTCAATAACAAATGATTAAGTGTACGATGTGACTTTATTCCAAGAAAATAATAAAGATCATCGAGATATTTCATTGAAAATTGTGAAGAAAACTATGAAATGAATGGATAACACTTAATGAAAAGCTAGTGAGAATGATATCATCCACATAATGTAAAGGTAACATTATGTCAAATGAGGAATGCCATATGACCATAAAAGGATCTGCTTGACTACTTTTGAAACTAAAGGCATGAAGAACAGAACTAAATCTCTAAAAGGAAGCTCGTGGAGCTTGGCGAAAAACATAAAGAGAGCGATATAATTTACAAACATGATGAGGATGATTAAGGTCCACAAACCTTAGTGGTCATGCCATATAAACTTCTTCATGCAACTTGCCATATAAAAATGCATTTTTGACATCTAATTGCCTAATGGACCATAATCTACTAACAACAATAGAGAGAACAATTCGAATAATGGTGGCCATAACAATAAGACTAAATGTGGAGTCAAAGTCAATACCTTCTAGTTGTATGAAGCCTTTGGCTACTAATCTTGCTTTATACCATTCAATGGTACCATCAACTTGCTCTTTGATTTTATAAATCCAATGACAACCAACAATATTCATGGATGAATTACGAGGCACTAAAGACCAAATATTATTTTGCATCAAAGTAGAATATTCATCATTCATAATTGAAATCCATTTTGCATCTTAATATGCTTCTTTGAAGGATCTTGGCTTAGGAGATGGATAATTTGTAGCATGTAATGAGTATGGTACTTTAGGCCTTCGAGTATCATCTCGACTTTGTGTAACAATAGGATGTATAGTTCTAGAACCAGAAGAAGTGGAAGGTTCAGATGATGGTTGAATAGAGGGTGCCAACACAGTTGTATCAAGTTCAGAAACAATTGTATTTAGGATTGAACCATTTGTTAATGGTTCTAACACAATTGTAGTAAGAGGTATGGGTACAGATACCTCGAAACTAACTTCAGGAGATGTAAAAGAGTCAATGGGATGAGAAAAAATCCCAGGAGCTGTAAAACCAGAACATTCTACAAAAAGAAAGCAATTTTCATTAAAAATAACATGTTGTGAGATATAAACCCGACCATTAGAAAGGTTTAAACAATGATATCCTTTATGGACTTAACTATACCTCGTGAAACGTCAACGAGTGGATTTTAGAGAAAGCTTATCTTTTCAATAATAAACTAAATAAGGATAACAAGCACATCCAAAAACTCTCAAATGATTGTAGTTTGGGACATAGTTAAATAGTACTTCAAAAGGAGAATGATTACTTAAAATTGATGTAAGAAGCCGATTGATAAGATAAATAGCTATAGAAAATGCCTCAAGCCAAAGAGATCATGGTAAAGAAGCTTGAAATAACAAAGTTAGGCTCATTTCCTCAATATGTCTATGTTTTCATTCTATTAAACCATTCTATTTATGGATATATGGATAAGAAATTTGAAAAGAAATACCATAGTGATCAAAAAGATTTTTAAAATCACTTTTAACAAGCTAATTAGCTCCATCACACTGAAAAAATTTAATTTTATTGCCAAATTGATTTTCAACCATAATCTTAAAATTCTCAAAACAAGTAACACTATCAGAACAACGCTTCAATGGATAAAACCAAGTATAATGACTAAAATCATCCACAAAATAATATAATAGTAAAAATGAGTAACAGTAGCAGTGGACGATAGCCTCTAAAGATCACAATGAATTAATACAAGAACATTAGAAGTAGTAGATAAACCAAAAGGTAAACATTTACTTTTTCCCGCTTGCCAAGTTGTACAAGTTAAGTTATTTGTTGATATTATAATTCAAGTTATCAACAAACGTTTATTTGTTGATATTATAATATTAACAAATATATTCTCGTACTAAAATTTTCTTGCATTATCATCGTTTCAACCATGTTTGACGTGTGAGATATATAGGATGAAATTTACAAATTCGCAAGAATTTAATTGATTAGAATGTCAACAGAAAATAACTATAGTTAGTTTCATATAGTCCAAGCACTTGAATTCAAGGTTTATTAGGCTATTACAATGACAACGTGACCGTTTGCTATCATGGTTATCACTTGAATTTTCATTTTTAGCTTCCCTCAATGTTCCCTGAGGTTTTAACTTGATGTTTTACAGCTTGCAGGGGAAAAGTAAGTTGGAAAACAATGCAAACCCAACTATAAACAAGTCAAATGGCTTGCCTCGGAAACGATTCTACCGAGCGCGAGCATACAGCAAACCTCTATGTGACTCTCACTTCCCTGTTTCTCTTTTCCCCAGCCATGTTGACTATTCACTTCATTACCCTCAATTATTCCCTTGGCTGATCAGATTTTGATAGTTCCAAAAAGATCCAGTTTGCAGATGTTGGCAGTGGTTTTGGAGGGCTTTTAATTAGTCTTTCAACTCTTTTCCTTGAAACTCTAATTATTGGGATGGAGCTTAGGGATAAAGTGAGTATTTGAAGGAAAGCTTTCAAAGATGTTTTTCTTATTTCCTGATCCTCACTTCAAAGAGAAAAACCATCGTCGTAGGGTAATCAGTACTCACTTGTTAGATGAGTATGCTTATGTTCTTCAGGTTGGTGGGATTATATACACAATTACAGATGTGGAAGAACCTGGAGAATGGATGAAGTCTTGTTTAGAGAATCATCTCGTGTTTGAAGCCCTCTGAGGGAAGGAGCTTGAAGCTGATCCTGTAGTAAAACTCCTGAGTACTACAACTGAAGAAGGACAAAAAGTTGCTAGGAATGGGGGACAGACTTTCCAAGCACCGGTTCATGAGAGAACAGTTTGTCTGCTCAGGCTTCATTGAGCCACCGATGGATAAATTGTCTGGTTTAGTAATAGGTTTAGTGCGCTTACTTTCTTCATCTGTTCATGAGGATCATTGTCTTTGATATATTTGAAATGCTATTACAAGCAACACAGTGAGGTATAGCATAATTTAGAGTTTTGTATCTTTAACTATTCAGTGTTGCTAAACAATTCACTATATAAATCTTAAATCAAGATTTTCATTAAGGATTTTGTGATTATAATTAAATCACGTTGAGATTTTGTAATAACTTTCGCAAAATCAAGTTTTGTAGGAACCAAAACTCTATCTTAATATCAAGTATGAACAAGGCAACAGACATATCACATACCTTCTTGAATGAAATTCAAGTCATTCTATAGAACAAAGGGGAAAACAAAACAAAACATAAAAGGTCAAAGCAAACTTTATTTGAATATGAAAATTTATGTAGTTTATTTCTCTGCAATAGCCTTTTTCAATAAGATACTTGCTTTCTAGCTGGTCGAACTCTTAAGAATTTGCAATCTGTTCAGATGGAAAAAGGCCCCATGCTCAAATGTAATTATTTCATGATCCTACCCTTTTTTTCCTTCTAGATGTCTATACCATTAATATCATAAATTGTAGATCTTTGATTGTTTATTTGTTTACCGTGTGAGCAGAAAAAGTACTTGTTCATCTTTATTATCCAATTAATTAATAAAAAATTGAAGTTCCTTGACAGCAAAATTTGACTATTTATTCCCTATAATATTCTTACCAAGTACATATATGCAAGCATTTTCAATAAATATCAAGAAAAAAATGTAGCAGAAGTTGGTACAAAACGTTTAAAATCATTAATTGGACATTGACCGCGAAATTTTCATGCAGGGTGCTTTCCTTGACTACTGCAATTTCTTTGTGACTGGATCTATCCAATTAAAAAATTGAAGAAATTAAATAGTTAAACTCCAAGGTCAGTCTATAAATATCATCTTAATTCTCACTTGTTTCCACACCTAAAATTCTCAGTTCAATCTTCTTTTTCTCTCTGTTTATCTTCCTTAAAATTGAATCATGGGTGTTTTCACTTATGAAATGGAGGTTGCTACCTCAATCCCCCCAGCCAAGATGTTCAAGGCCTTTGTTCTTGATGCTGACAACCTTTTCCCCAAGGTTGTGCCACAGGCAATCAAGAGCTCTGAGCTTCTTGAAGGAGATGGTGGCCCTGGAAGTATCAAGAAGATCACTTTTGGTGAAGGTTAATTTTCATTTCTCGCCACATGAAATTGCTTTCCGTTTTATGTTACTTATTTGATTGGTGACAAATGTAGGCAGCCAATTCAAGTATGTGAAACACAAGGTTGAAGGAATAGACAAAGAGAATTTCTCATACTGTTACAGTGTGATCGAAGGCGATGTTTTGACGAACACATTAGAGAAAATCAGTTATGAGACCAAGTTCATGGCAGCACCCGGTGGAGGATCAATTTGCAAGAGCAGCAGTAAGTACTATACCATTGGTGACATTGAGATCAATGAGGAGCAAATCAAGGCTGGCAAAGAAAGGGCCTCTGGAATGTACAAGGCTGTTGAAGCTTACCTCTTGGCAAATCCTGATCTCTACAACTAGGTTGCTACTGCTTGATATGTCCTTCATGTCATCTCAGTTTTAGTGGTGTGATTTTGATATTTCTTTCTCTCTTGGCCAAAATTGTCATTGGTTGGTTAATAAGAGTGGTGGTCTCTGGCTGTGATCATTTGTATTTCATTATAATTAGAGAGCTTGACTTGTATTATCTTTGATATACGAAATAAAATCAAGGTTTTGGTTCACCTACAATATTAATTGGTATTTATTTTTTTCTTTCATAAATCTTTTGAGTTTAACTAGGAGTGATGAAATTCAAATCCACTTATTACCCATACATCAACCTAAAGTCAGATAGAGAATCAAATCAAAAACTTAACTCAATTGGTTAATGCAACCATCCTTTAAGAGGTGACATCTAACAGACATAGGATTCAAATTTCAGCATTTGTAACATTTTCTTTGTCCTTGGACTTCAATTCAGATAAAGAATTTGCCATTTGATGTCTAAAATTTCCACCTCATAACTTGATAAGGGCAGTGAGTTAAGTCCACAACTATCTTTTACAGTATTACTCAATAGAAAAAGGCTTAGAGTTGGTGAATTAAAAAATAATAAATGAGAAGAATATATATCTCACTACCGTTGATTCACCTGTCAACAGTGAGAGGAGAAATATGGTAAGAAGCAGGGTCTTTGGTTCACCTGTGGCTAAGAGCTATGTGTTCAAGCACTTGAATTCAAGCTCTTCTTCTGTACTTAAAATATCAGAGTTCTTGCTTTTTAACCTTCTTCTGATATTGACTGCTTCCATGATCCATAAATTTGTTCTTTATAGCAAGCTTGTCTTTTGCATTTCGAAGAATATGTAAGGTAAGTACACAAACCAGAATCAATTGCAAGTTTTATTAGGTGCTTTCTGGACGGAATTACAAAACCTGAAAAGTTATTCTTCATTCTCACTCTATAATTACTGCAGCTTCAGCTTCACATCTCACGCCTCAAAAATCTGAATCAATTCTATTTTCACTCATCTGATCATTTCCAAAATCAGTAGTAATCATGGGTGTTTTCACTTACGAATCTGGGGTTGTTACTGCAATCTCACCAGCCAAGATGTTTAAGGCTTTTATCCTTGATGGTGACAAGCTTATTGCCAAGATTGTTCCTCAGGCTTTTATGAGTGTTGAGTACATTGAAGGCAATGGTGAGCCTGGTAGTATCAAGAAAGTAACTTTTGGAAAGGTTAGTTAATTTATATATGCAACTAAAAACATTTTTTTGGCACAAAGATACAGCCTGGTGATAAGGGAAAAGATTGCACTTGCAGTGCTGGCATTTGAACTCCTGCTGAATGCCCTCTGAGTGGCTACATAATACAACTAAGCTAATCTCGGGGTTCAACTAAATGCTTTGAATAATGTATTGAATTAGAACTTAGAAGTGCTGTTACAAAGAAGTAATAACTACTCTATATTTGCTTTTCCAAATGCAGGAAGTCAATTCAATTACGTGAAGCAGAAGGTAGAAACACTATATAAAAAAAATTTTGTCTATAGTTACGGTGTGATCGAAGGGGATGCTTTAATGAACACACTTGAGAAAATCACTTATGAGACAAAGTTAGAGGCCTCCGCAGATGGTGGATCGATATGTAAGACTACCAGTAAGTATTACACCATTGGTGACTTTGAGCTGGAGGAGTAGGAAATCAAGGCAGGCAAAGAAAGGGCTTTGGGAATGTTCAAGGCGATTGAAGCCCACCTCCTAGCAAATCCTGATGCCTACTAAAAACCGCCTTAGCAATATCCACTTCAATGATCATAAAAAGTGGAATTCATGTGTGCTTGATTGAGTGAGTTCCTTTTTTTTATTTTCTTTTTAGTTTTGCAGTTGTTGGTTGAAGGATTTAGAGCAGAAAACAAGAGAAACTAATCTGTTACTTGAAGTAAATTGGCTCATTTGATCATGAGCTTCATTTCATTAATTTATAGGGTTCAAAAATACAAAAGTAGTTGGCCTAACAGCATGGGTCACCATGCACAGACCCATCATTTTACCTAGACTAATCTGCTGTCAGAAAGTTCCAGCAGAAATGCCATACTTAGTTGCTTCACACTAACATGCTTCAACCATTAACACACTAACACTCCTCCTTGGTATTTCTGCTGGAAACACCAAGACTTTTCCTTAATGTTTCAAGCCTTGCCTTTGGTAAGGCTTTGGTCAGAATATCTGCAATTTGATCTTCTGACTTGCAATGCACCAGTTTCACTTCATTCTCAGCTTCAACTTCTCTAATAAAGTGATACTTGATCTTAATATGCTTAGTTCTTCCATGAAACACAGGGTTCTTGACCATTGCAACTGCTGACTGATTATCACAAAAAATTTATGTTGGATCATCTTGCTTTTGACTCAAATCCAACAAAATTTTTCTTAGCCAAATTGCTTAATTAACAGCAGTTGCAGCAGCTATATACTCTGCTTCTGCTGTTGATTGAGCCACTGTTCCTTGTTTCTTTGAATTCCAGCTGAACACATTTAATCCAATGAAAAACACATAGCCTGAAGTGCTTTTCATGTCTTCATGAGAGCCAGCCCAGTCACTGTCTGTGAATCCTACCAATCTTGAACTGTCATTCTTCTTGAACCAAATTCCAAGTTCATTGGTTCTTTTGACATATCTCAACACTCTTTTTGCAGCCTTAAAATGCAACTCACTAGGATTTTACATGAACCTAGAGAGTAAATTTGCAGCATACATGATGTCTGGCCTTATTGCTGTCAAATACAATAAGCAACCAACCAAGCTTCTATAAATAGAGCCATCAACTTTGTTAGCTCCATCTTCTTTAACAAGTTTCTCATTTTGAGCCAAAGGAGTGTTGACTGGTTTGCAATTTTCCATCCCAAACTTATTCAGGATTTCATTTGCATATTTTCTTTGACAAATGAAGATTCCTTGCTGGTCTTGATGAATCTCCATTCCAAGAAAATAAGATATTTCTCCCATGTCTGTCATCTCAAAAATTTCTTGCATTTGGAGCTTAAAATCTTCCACAAGAGCTGATTTGCTACCTGTCACCAGAAGATCATCAACAACAAAGAAACAATCAACAGATCATTACTGTTAAAAACTTTAATGTACAATGTTGCTTCACTGAGGCTTTTCTTGAATCCTAACTTCAGTAAATGTAATACCCCAGCCCAAATAATAATTGGGCTAGACTAATACTAAAGCCCATCAGTTTATTAAGACATTATTTTACTAAAAGAAAAAGGGCTGAAGTATTAGATGAAAGAAAACCTACCTATCGTGAAATAGAAAGGAAATAGAGTTCTTCTTCTTCATCTTCTTTAGGGTTAGAGAATATGAAAAATCAGGTTGGAGATTCACAATCAGAGGCTACAATCAAGTTAATCCCTTAAAGGTGAGTACATGTCCTCTTTTTATTTAAGAAGAAATATCAAGTTGATTGCTATTATTTGGAGTTAAAGTTTTGAGAGAAAAATCAAGAAAAATCATGAAATCCTTCATTAATCTTGATGATCTATATGGGTAAATTACTGGGCTTTGTTTATTTTATGTTCTTAAGATTTATTGATGATTATTGAATGGAGTTTGAAGGCTGAAAGTAAGGATTTGAGTTTTTAAAGATTGAATGGGAAATTCTATTTTTGGATGAGATGTTATGATCTGTAATAATGAATTAAAATAGAAATTTGTATTAATGGATAGATTATTGCTGTGATTATTATATATGGTTGGAAAGCATGTTGAATCTACTTTCTAATGAAACAAACGGGAGTTGAATTTGAGTTCTCTACGAAGAGTTATCCAATTTTTAACTTAAGGATATGTAGGCTGTAAGATAACAGCATCAGGGTTGAATTACGAAATTCTTTTTAATTTGTATACAAGGATTTATAGATTAAGCCATATATGTTTGGAAATCTTATTGAGTCTACTTTCCAATGAAACAAGCGGAATTGAATTTGGAGTTTCCTGTGAATAATTATATAATTTTTATTAGAAGGTATACAATCTGTTTGGCAGCAGTATATGACGAGGATTTCAAAAATTGTTATAATTAATCTACAAGGAATTACAAGGTGTGCCATATATGGTTAGAAAGCTTATCAAGTCTAGTTTCTAACACATTAAAGAGATCATAATTTCGATTTGGATATATTGAGATATGACTGTTTTAATGAAAAGAGGTCAGGCTGCCAATATTAATTAGTTAAGTTAACCCTTTGTGTAACTTAGTTGATTTTTGTATAAATGGTCTCAAAAAGGGTTGATTAAATTCTGATATGTTGAAATGATCTTGGATAGGCCATTAATTATTTTGAGGGAAAAACTAAGTGATGGAATCGAATGGAGGTAAGTAGAATCTCACACACTTTGTTTGTTTTCGAATCTATGTATATATATGTTTCTAAATGAAAGAATGTTTTATTTCTTTATTTTTGATATATGAAAATAGGATCAAGCATATGATTATTTTGTGTTTCTTTATATAAATGTTGGATCATGCTTATGAATGAAATGAGAAAATGATTTATGTTTAAAGAATGATTTTATGATAGCTACGGTTTTATATCCCTGGGAAGTGGGATCATCGACACCAGAACTAATTCTACGACCCTGGCTAACGGGTAATAGTAGTTAGCGTAAGCCCTGGCTAACGGGTTATAATAGTTAGTAATGATCATGAGAATGAAATTGTCGATACGGCCAATGTCACGGGTTATAGCAGTGACCGTAGCTAACGATTTGAATGATAATGATGATTTATGATAATGATGATTTACGACGATTTTTAATGATTGATCCATGATTTGGTTTGACTACGATATTTGAATGATAGCATATTTTACAATGATTTATGAATTTACGAAATGTTTGACAGAACGATGATATTGAAATGTTTTGACATTATGATTTGACAAATATTTTGAATGATTTATATGATATGTATGAAAATGATGTTTGATCCGGTAAGATGTGTGAGCCTATACTTACTGAGCTGTGGTTTGCTCATTCCCCTTTTACTTTTTCTTTACAGATGACTAAGTGATAAGTTTGGTTAGTCTTGTGTGAAGCTAGAAGATGAAATGGGTATGATTACTTAATCATCAGAGAATATGTTGGCCAATGAGATTTTAAGAGGCAGTTTTGTATTTTATATGATTTTTATTTGGATATATAAATATATATCATCAGTTGGATTAAAGATATGAATTTTACTTGGTATATTATTTTATTGAAGAATTTTAGAATGTTTAAGAAAGAAGGCTTCGTATTACTTTGAGATTTTTTTCAAGGTAATATGGCCGTGTTACGTCTTGATCTCGGGGCGTGACAGTAAATGATCATCAATTCTGGAATTCCACACTCTGGGAGCTTGTTTTAATCCATACAAAGCCTTCTTGAGTAGATAGACTTTGCTTTCATGTCCCTTGGCAACAAAATCATCAGGTTGTTTAATGTAGATCTCCTCCTCAAGATAACCATTCAAGAAGGCAGATTTGACATCAAGTTGGTATATTTTCCAACTTTGCTGAGTTGCTAAGGCTAATAGCAGCCTTATAGTGTCCAACCTTGCAACTGGAGCAAATGTCTCTAAAAAATCAACACCAAGCTGTTGGGAATAGCCTTTAGCTACCAATCTAGCTTTAAGTTTGTTGATGGAACCATCAGCATTCAACTTTGTTCTAAAAATCCATTTGACACCAATGATGTTTTTGTTACTTGGTCTGTCAACTAGCATCTATGTTTGATTTTTCTCAATCATTTGAATCTCCTCCTTAATGGCATTTTTCCACTCTGAAAATTTGACAGCTTCTTCAAAACTTGCAGGTTCAAGAATGGCAACATTTGATCTTTGATAAATATCTGTGAGTGGTCTGATTCCTCTCACTGGTTCATGATCAATGATTTCATTTTCAAACATATAATATTCTTGATCTTGGAAGCTTATCATGTCTGCAGCAATTTGCTTGACTGATTCTCCTTTTGATTTTTCCCAATTCCAGGCAGCTTGCTCATTAAATCTCACATTCCTACTTACAATCATCTTGCCTGTAAGTGGATTATAAGTCCTATAGCCTTTGGTGATGTTGCTATAACCCAAAAAAATACATATTTTTGCTTTTTGATCAAGCTTGTCCCTTTTGATATCAAGAACGAACACTTAACAGATGCTGCCAAAAATTTTGAGGTGGTGCACTGATGGTTTGCTTCCATTCCAGGCTTCAAAAGGAGTGTTTCCCTTCAAAGCTTTTGTGGGCAGCCTGTTGAGCAAGTAGACAGAGGTATTGACTGCCTCTGCCTAGAATTTCTTTAGAATATTTTTCTCAAACAGCATGCATCTTGCCATCTCCATGATTGTTCTATTCTTCCTTTCACTGACTCCATTTTATTGTGGAGTGTAAGTTGCTGTCAGTTGGTGTTCAATTCCTGCAACTTCACAAAACTCATTAAATCTGTCAGATGTGTATTCAATACCATTGTCTGACCTTATGATCTTGATTTTGCAGCCACTTTGATTCTCAATCCAAGCCTTGAACTTCCAAAATACATTTGTAACTTCAGACTTTTGTTTCATGAAGTAAATCCAACACATTCTAGTAAAATCATCTATAAAAGTAATGAAATATCTACTGCCATTCAAGGACAAGGTTCTCATAGGACCACAAACATCAGTATGAACAAGTTGTAATTTTTCAGTTGCCCTCCATGCTTTGTTAATTGTAAATGGCAACTTACTTTGTTTTCCTAGTTGACAGACTTCACACACTCCAGCACTGACTTCAACAGTAGGCATGTTTAATACAAGATCATTTTTATGCATGAAATTCAATGCATTGTAGTTGAAATGTCCCATCCTTTTATGCCATAAAGAAGATTCATCATGTGAAGTAACATATGCAGAGGAGTTTGCTTCATGCCAATTCAAGGAAAAACATTTTCCTTTCATATTAACAGTAAAGAGTTCATGGCCAGTGGGATCATGAATTATGCATGCCTTGTCTTTGAAGATTAAAGAGTAGTTATTTTCTAGCAACTGTCCTACACTCAACAGGTTTTGATCTATTTTGGGCACAAATAACACATCTGAAATGAGTTTGATACCTGTTGGTGTCTCAACTGCCACTACTCATTTTCCTTTGACTTCTATGAAATCACCATTACCTATTCTGACTTTAGAGGTGCAGGTCTTGTCTAGTTCTTTGAATATGTTGATATCAGATGCCATATGGTGTGTGTAGCCACTGTCAATGAGCCATGCACTGGAGGAGGTTTTGGTTCCATAGCAAGTTGCAACAAAAACTTGCTCTTCTAGCTGTTGTTGATTGTCAGCAACTTTGGCTTGTTGATCTGGCTGCTGCTGTTTTTTGTTTTTACATACCTTCTCCATGTGACCAAGCTGCTTACAGTACCTACATTGTATGTTAGGTCTGTACTAGCAATATTTCTCCAAGTGAGTAGTCTTTTTGCAGTGAGAGCATGGTGAAAATTTTCCTTTCTTTTCACTGTTTCTAGAACCTTGGTTTCTTTGATCTCTTTGTTTTCTGCCTTTGCTTTCTGTTTGTATCTTGCCTTTCTCCTTGGCTGTAAAAGCACTTTCTGTTGAATCCTCTTGTCTGATAGCCCTTCTTTGCTCTTGAGCTTGTAGAGCATTGAACAATTCTGCTGGAGTTATTTTGGTCAGGTCCTTAGAGTCTTCAAGGGATGAGATTTTTGACTCAAACCTCTCTGATAAGCTGACAAGAACCTTCTCTACAATTTTTTGTCTGACAGCTCCTCACCAAGTAATCTAATCTTGTTTACTATCTTCATGAGTCTGTCATTGTACTCCTTTAAATTTTCAGACTCCTTCATCTTTAAGACTTCAAACTCTCTTCTAAGATTCAACACTTGCATTTGTCTTATCTTGTCACTGCCTTGAAACTCTTCCTTGAGCACATCCCAAGCTTGTTTTACAGTTTCACAAGTCATGATTCTAATGAATATGTCATCAGAAACTGAAGACTCAATATAGCTTTTAGCTTTGTACCTCTTTGCCTTTTCTTCACTATAATTTTTCATTTGAGTTACTGTTGGATTTGCAGGAAGTTGTGGTGGTTCCTTCTCATTTTTCACCACTTCCCACAAATCAAAAGCACTCAAATAAGTCTTCATTTTGACAGCCCATATCTCGTAGTTTTCACCAGAAAAAATAGGAGGTGGAGGTAAGGAGCAATTGCTTGAGGCCATTTAAGGTTGACAAAGGCTGGCTGAAAAGTGTTTGATGGCTTTTCACTTAATTTTTGGGACTCACAGATCCTCTAAGAACTTAAGGAATGCTCTGATACCAATTGAAGGATTTAGAGCAGAAAACAAGAGAAACTAATCTGTTACTTGAAGTAAATTGGCTCATTTGATCATGAGCTTCATTTCATTAATTTATAGGCTTCAAAAATACAAAAGTAGTTGGCCTAACAGCATGGGTCACCATGCACAGACCCATCATTTTACCTAGACTAATCTGCTGTCAGAAAGTTCCAGCAGAAATGCCATACTTAGTTGCTTCAACTACTAACACACTAACATGCTTCAACCACTAACACACTAACATTGGTCCATATGACCTTCAGATTGCTAATAAGAGTTCATAGTTTGTCGAAACTACCGGGAAACTTGAACTTTAACAAATAAAGGAGCATGGAAATGGAATATGTTTATTAAAAATTGTTGTGTGATCAAGCTATTGATTGAAAATGATGAGTGCATTATCTTCATCTTTCAAGATTTACTAATTATATATTGAACATAAGAAAGTCAAGTTTCAGAAGAAACGTAATGCGACTTGTAAGACAAATTTGTTGAGGAAATCTAAATCCATAATTTTGACATTGGATGGAGGAAAGGGTTATGGTGGAATTTAGGGTCGTTGAGATGATGATTTCCACTAGCATTTTCCATAAGGATGCTAACATAGCCACTTCAGACAATATAGAGAAATTATGTTTTGTTTAGTTTTTTTTATGAAATAATATAACATTGGGATAATTTCAAACCCCAAGAATTATCAAATAGGTAGATACGAAAAATTCACTCAAACAATGAGAAATGGAGTACTCAAGGTGTTCTAAGTACCTAACAGTGAAGCTCAAAGGAGAAATTTGGGGTAAAAGGAGCATTTGGGAAAAGCCAAGTCTCAAAATTTCACCTTTGGTTTAGCTTTGATGAACATAACCCTGTTAAAGTTAGGCATAGAAACATTCATCAAGATAGGCTGAGGATCCTGACAGAGGGAGAGCAGGAAAGGGGGACAGAATTCTGGTCTATGCTGTTGCTGGGAGAAATTTATGTAACATGTTCTGTCATGGTTTCTGATTTCTACCTCCTTCTAAAGTCGTTTCATGTTATTTTGTTGCTTTGCTGCAACATGTTTTCTACCTGAAAAAAAAAAAAAAACAATTATCAACAAATATATTCTCATACTAAATTCTTCTTGCATCATCATCGTTTCAACCATGTTTGACGTGGGAGATATATAGGATGAGATTTACAAATTCGCAAGAATCTAATTGATTAGAATGTCAACAGAAAGTTGATATTAGTTAGTTTCACAAGGTCAAAGCACTCGAATTCAAGGTTTTTTAGGCCATTACAATCTCAACGTGACCGTTACCTTTCTGTTTGATGGTGAATGGCTGTGGGAATTATTAATTTGCTATCATGGTTTTCACTTGAATTCTCATTTTTAGCTACCCTCAATGTTCCGTGAAGTTTTAACTTGATGTTATACAGCTTGCAGGGGAAAAATATGTTGGAAAACAAGGCAAACCCAACTATAAACAAGTCAACTGGCTTGCCTTGGAAACGATTCTACCGAGCACGAGCATAAAGCAACCCTCTATGTGACTGCCATTTCCCTGTTCCTCTTTTCCCCAGCCATGTTGACTATTCACTTCATTACACTCGGTTATTTCCGTTGTCTGATCAGATTGATAGTTCCAAAAAGAGCCAGTTTGCGGATGTTGGTTGTGGTTTTGGAGGGCTTTTAATTGGTCTTTCAACAAATTTCCCTGAAACTCTAATAAATGGGATGGAGCTTAGGGATAAAGTGACTAAGTATGTGAAGGAAAGAATATCTCTGTTGTTGGTACATTCCCAACTACTCTGAGAAAGGACAGCTTTCAAAGATGTTTTTCTTATTTCCTGAATCTCACTTCGAAGAGAAAAACCATCGTCGTAGGGTAATCGGTGCTCACTTGTTAGATAAGTATGCTTATGTTCTTCAGGTTGGTGCGATTATATACACAATTACAGATGCGGAAGAACTTGGAGAATGGATCAAGTCTTGTTTAGAGAATCATCCTTTGTTTGAAGCCCTCTCAGACAAGGAGCTTGAAGCTGATCCTGTAGTAAAACTCCTGAGTACTGCTACTGAAGAAGGACAAAAAGTTGCTAGGAATGCTGGACAGACTTTCCAAGCACCGTTTCATGAGAGAACAGTTTGTCTGCTCAGGCTTCATTGAGCCACCAATGGATAAATTGTCTGGTTTAGTAATAGGTTTAGTGCGCTTACTTTCTTCATTTGTTATTGAGGATCATTGTCTTTGATATATTTGTAATGCTAATATAAGCAACACAGGGAGGTATAGCATAATTTAGAGTTTTGTATCTTTAACTATTCAGTGTTGCTAAACAATTCACTATACAAATCTTAAATCAAGATTTACATTAAGGATTTTGTGATTGTAATTAAATCACGTCGAGATTTTGTAATAACTTACGGAAAATAAAGTTTTGTAGAAACCAAAACTGTCATAATACCTAGTATGACCAGGCCAATAGACATATCACATACCCGTCTTACAATGAAATTCAAGTTACCCGATGGAACAAATGGGAAACCAAAACAGAACATAAAAGGTCAAGTAAACTCTTTTGAGTTCGAAAAATTATGTAGATATTTCATACTTATAATTAGGCACATATTTTAACGTTGAATTTTTCTCAGCAATAGCCTCTTTGAATAAGATACTTGCTTTCCAGATGGTCCAACTCTTCTAAAGAATTTGCAGTCTGTTCAGATGCCAAAAGGCCCCATGGTGAAATGTAATTATTTCATGATCCTACCCTTTTTTTTCCTTCTGCATGTCTGGGTACCATTTAGTATCATAAATGATAGATCTTTGATTGTTTATTTGTTTACTGTGTGCACAAAAATACTTGTTAATCTTTATTATCCAATTAATTAATAAAATATGAAGTTCCTTGACAGCACATTTGATTATTTATTCCTTATAATATTCTTTCCAAGCATATATATGTAAGCATTTTCAATAAATATCAAGAAAAAAATGAAGCACAAGTTGGTACAAAACGTTTAAAATGATTAATTGGAGATTGACCATGAAATTTTCATGCAGGGTGCTTTCTTTGACTACTGCAATTTCTTTGTGACTGGATCTATCCAATTAAAAAATTGAAGAAATTAAATAGTTAAGCTTCAAGGTCAGTCTATAAATATCATCTTAATTCTCACTTGTTTCCACACCTCAAACACTCTGTTAAATCTTCTTTTTCTCTCTGTTTATCTTCATTAAATTCGAATCATGGGTGTTATCACTTATGAAATGGAGGTCGCTACCTCAATCCCCCCAGCCAAGATGTTCAAGGCCTTTGTTCTTGATGCTGACAACCTTTTCCCCAAGGTTGTGCCACAGGCAATCAAGAGCTCTGAGCTTATTGAAGGAGATGGTGGCCCTGGAAGTATCAAGAAGATCACTTTTGGTGAAGGTTAGTCTTCATTTCTTGCCACTGGAAATTCCTTTCCATTTTCTTTTGAGAAATGTAGCAGTACGTAAATTAATTGATTGGTAACAAATATAGGCAGCCAATTCAAGTATGTGAAACACAAGGTTGAAGGAATAGACAAAGAGAATTTCTCATACAGTTACAGTGTAATCGAAGGTGATATTTTGATGGACACATTTGAGAAAATCAGTTATGAGACCAAGTTCATTGCAGCACCAGGTGGAGGATCAATTTGCAAGAGCAGCAGCAAGTACTATACCATTGGTGACATTGATATCAATGAAGATCAAATTAAGGCTGGCAAAGAAAGGGCCTCCGGAATGTACAAGGCTGTCGAAGCTTACCTCTTGGCAAATCCTGATCTCCACAACTAGGTTGATCCTGCTTGATATGTCCTTCATGTCATCTCTGTTTTAATGGTGTGATTTTGATATATCTTTTCTCTCTTGGCCAAAATTGTCTTTGGTTGTCTAATAAGAGTGGTGGTCTCTGGCAGTGATCATCTGTATTTTCATTATAATTAAAGAGTTTGTATTGCATTATCTTTGATATACAAAGTAAAATCAAGGTTTGGGTTCACCTGCAATATTAATTGATATTTATTTTTTTTCTTTCATAAATCTTTTGAGTTTAACTACGAGTGATGAAATCCAAATCCTCGTATTTTTCATACATCAACCTAAAGTTAGATAGATAATCGAATTCAAAACTTAATTCAATTGGATCGTACAGCTATTCTTTAAAAGATGACATCGAACGGACATAAGATTCAAATTTCGCATCTACAACCTTTTCTTTATCCTTTGACTGTAATGGTAAAAAAAAAAAAAAAAATTCAGATAGAGAATTTTTCATTTGTTGTCTAAAATTTCCACCTAATAACTTGTTATGGGCAGTGAGACTAAGTCAACAACTATCTTTGACAGTATTACTCAATAGAAAAAGGCAAAGAATTGGTGAATTAAAAAATAACATACCTTTGGTTCCCCTGTCAACAGTGAGAGGAGAAATATGTTAAGAAGAAGGGTCTTTGGTTCACCTGTGGCTAAAAGCTGCGAGTTTAAGGTTATTAGGTGGAAATTTTACCACGCAGCTATATGAGTTCCTAATAGTCCAAGCACTTGAATTCAAGCTCTTCTTCTGTAATTAAAATATTAGAGTTCTTTCTTTTGATCTCTTCTGATTTTGACTGCTTCCAAGATCCATAAATTTGTTCTTTATAGCAAGCTTGTCTTTTGCATTTCGAAGAATATGTAAGGTAAGTGCACAAACCAGAATCAATTGCAAGTTTTATTAGATGCTTTCTGGACTAAATTACAAAACCTGAAAAGTTATTCTTCATTCTCACTCTATAAATACTGCAGCTTCAGCTTCACATCTCTCGCCTCAAAAATCTGAATCAATTCTATTTTCATTCATCTGATCATTTCCAAAATCACTAGTAATCATGGGTCTTTTCACTTACGAATCTGAGGTTGTTACTACAATCTCACCAGCCAAGATGTTTAAGGCCTGTATACTTGATGGTGACAAGCTCATTCCCAAGATTGTTCCTCAGGCTTTTAAGAGTGTTGAGTACATTGAAGGCAATGGTGAGTCTGGTAGTATCAAGAAAGTAACTTTTGGAGAAGGTTAGTTAATTTATATATACAACTAAATACATTTTTTTGGCACAAAGATACAGCCTGGGGATAAAGGAAAAGATTGTACTTGCAGTGCTGGCATTTGAACTCCTGCTGAATGTCACCTGAGTGGCTACGTAATACAACTAAGCTAATCTCCGGGTTCGACTAAATACTTTGAATAATGTATTGAATTAGAACTTAGAAGTGCTGTTACAAAGAAGTAATAACTACTCTATATTTGCTTTTCCAAATGCAGGAAGTCAATTCAATTACGTGAAGCAGAAGGTAGAAACACTAGACAAAAAATTATTGTGTATAGTTACAGTGTGATCAAAGGAGATGCTTTAATGAACACACTTGAGAAAATCACTTATGTGACAAAGTTAGAGGCCTCAGCGGATAGTGGATCGATATGTAAGACTACCAGTAAGTATTACACCATTGGTGACTTTGAGCTGTAGGAGGAGGAAATCAAGGCAGGCAAAGAAAAGGCTTTGGGAATGTTCAAGGCTATTGAAGCCTATCTCCTAGCAAATTCTGATGCCTTCTAAAAACCGCCTTAGCAATATCCACTTCAATGATCATACAATGCGGAATTCATGTGTGCTTGATTGAGAGAGTTCCTTTTTTTTTTTTTTTTTTTTTTTTAGTTTTGCAGTTGTTGGTCCATATGACCTTCAGATTGCTAATAAGAGTTCATAGTTTGTCGAAACTACAGGAATCTTGAACTGTAACAAATAAAGGAGCATGGAAATGGAATATGTTTACTAAAAATTGTTGTGTGATCAAGCTATTGATTGAAAATGATGAGTGCATTATCTTTATCTTTCAAGATTTACTAATTATATATTGAACATAAGAAAGTCAAGTTTCAGAAGAAATGTAATGCAACTTGTACGACAAATTTGTTGAGGAAATCTAAATCCATAATTTTGACATTGGATGGAGGAAGGGTTATGGTGGAATTTAGGTCGTTGACATGATGATTTCCACTAGCATTTTCCAAAAGGATGCTAACATAACCACTTCAGACAATATAAAGAAATTATGTTTTGTTTAGTTTTTTTTATGAAATAATATAACATTTGGATAATTTCAAACCCCAAGAATTGTCAAATAGGGAGATAAGAAAAATTCACTCAAACAATGAGAAATGGAGTACTCAAGATGTTCTAAGTACCTAACAGTGAAGTTCAAAGGAGAACTTTACGTAACAGTGAAGCTCAAAGGAGAAATCTGGGGTAAAAGGAGCATTTGGGAAAAGCCTAAGTCCCAAAATTTCACTCTTGGTTTATATTTGTCACACTTTGAGATCGAAACATAACATGATTATATTATTACTTTGAAATAAAATCTTAAAATAATACGAAATCTAATCCATAACCATTGAAAAATCTTCAAATGAAATAAGATTCTTAAAAAGTTTTAATATTTGTTAAATAACTAAATAACAAATTTTCAAATTGTTAATGTTGAGTATTACAATTAAAAGAAATAATACTTCACAAAATCCTATTTGCTAAGTAGTTCTCAAATGTTCAAATTCTTCTAGCTTCTTACAAGACTAATCATATTTATCATTTACATCATTTGTAAAAGAAAAGAAAATGGAGAATGTGCAAACTATAGCTTAGCAAATATAGACTCATACACTTTTCTGGATCAAAAATCGTTTTCATACATACTATATAGATCATTCCAAGACATTCATCAAATTATACCGTAAAAAACAATTCAAAGATCATTATTCTATCAAACATTTTGTAAATTTATAAACAAATATCAAATATATTAATTCATAAATCATTTCAAATACGTTGTCATTTAATATCATAATTAAACCAAATCATGGATTAATCTGTAAAAATCATCATAAATCATTAGTTCATCGTTAGTTATGGTTACTGTTATAACTCGTAACATTGATTATATCAATAATTTTATCATTATGATCATTATTAACTATTAGAACCTGTTAGTCAAGGCCTAATGCTAACTATTATAACCCATTAGCCAGGTCGTAGAACTAGTTTTGGTATCGATGATTCCATTTGCTAGAAATATAAAAACATAACTATCATAAAATCATTATTTACACATAAATCATTTTCTCATTTCATTCGTAAGCATGATCTATCATTTACATAACAAAACACAAAATAAACATATGTTTGATCAAATTTTCATATATCGAAAATAAAGAAATAAAAAAATTATTCATTTAGAAACATACATAAATACATAAGTTCGAAAACAAGCAAAGTATGTAAGATTCTATTTACTTTCATTCGATTCCATCACTTAGTTTTTTCTCTTAAAATAATTAATGACCTATTCAAGATAATTTCATTAGTTTTTTCTCCTAAAATAATTAACGACCTATTCAAGATAATTTCATCATAACAATAATTAATCAACCCATTTTGAGATCAATTATACAAAAAACAATTAAATTTCAACTAATTAATACTGACAGCCTGAGCTCTTTTCACTAAAATAACCATATTTCAAGATATTTGACTTAAAATTAAGATTTTTTTAATACGTTAGAAACTCGACTCAATAAGCTTTTTACCCATATATGACCCATCTCGTAATTCCTTATAAATTAATTATAATAATTTTTGCAACGTTATACACCACTATCAGACACTATGTATACATTTTAATAAAAATTACACATTTATTTATAGGAAACTCCAAATTCAATTTTGCTTATTTCGTTGGAAAGTAAAATCAATAATCTTTCCAAACATATATGACTTAATTTGTAATTCTTTGTATAAAAATTAAGAAGAATTTCATAATTCCACTTTGCTACTACTACTAAGCAACCTACACATCCTTAAGTAAAAATTAAACTACTCTTTAAAAATAACTTGGAATTAACTCTCGTTTATTTCATTAAAAAGTAAATTCAGCATTCCAACTATATATAATAATCATAGCAGTATTTTATCCCTTAATATAGAATATTATTTTTATCCATCACTACAAACACTACGGTTCATACGAAACAAAAATTTTCTTTTCTAACCCCATTAAATTTTTATTTTTTATTTTTATAGCAATAAAATCACATTACTAAATTTTTTCAACACTTTATTAGACCCTAATTAAAATATAAATTATTTGTCAAAACTAATCTTGAAGAGAGATACTGAATTTCTTAAAATTTTAGAGTTTTTCGATTATGCATTGTACCTCAAGATTTAACAATCAATATTATTTTTTTAAAATTGAAAAAAATTATTTACTCACATCTGACAAACAATTCTCTCTGTAAATTTTGTTCTTATTTTTCACTTGAAATTCTTTGATTTGTCTTTTTTGTATAAGAAAGAGAAGAGAAATAAACATTTTTCTTTCTCGATCAATTATAGGCCAAACAAGTGGTAGATGCTAACCTTATTAAAAGTTTAATTATTTATCAATAGGTCGTATGCATTTCTTATTCTTTATTAAAAAGTGCCTCAACTTATAAAAATACTTAAATTTTTTTTTCAGGTATTACATTTCTCCAATCCTATATTAAAAGAATGTGTGGATATAATATGATATATATGTAGAAAGCTAAACCCAAATTTATTAGGAGTTTTTTGGCCGATAATACTTTGCAGGTTGGGTATGAATCTCCACAGTTTATTATCCAAAACTATGTTTTTTTTCTTATTTGATGTGAGATCCAAATATCTTATTTATTTTCTTTGAAGCACTTGGCATGACGTGATAATTCAAGCACTTGAATTTAAGGTTTTGCTAGCATAAAATATTAGAATTCATTTCCTTTCAGAGAAGGAAATGAAGTCTTGTTTAGAGAATCATCCCATGTTTGAAACCATCTCAGAGAAGGGGCTTGAAGATGATCCTGTAGTAAAACTCTTTGAGTACTGCAACTGAAGAAGGACAAAAAGTTGATAGGAATGGGGGACAGACTTTCCAAGCAGTTTACCGACGAATTGCACCGGATTCATAAGAGA